ACGGTTAACTTAACGGAAGTTATATATTGATATCGAAGAGGTAGAGAAGAAAAAACCCATAGAGAGAAAAAGAGAGAAGGAAGTTAAGAGAGAAGGTGTCACTGATTTTCTTTGTAAAAAAGGCTAGAAATAGACGCTGTTATTTTGCTTTACTTAGAAAATGTTATTTTGGGGGTCCATAAAGATTATAATGTTGGATATAAATTTGAATGTCTCTAGATTGTCTACAAATAATATTATTTGATGTTTGTTAGTGATTTAAATTTTTAAAAATTTTGGAGATTTACTATGAAATAGTCGATTAGAAAAATATTCATAGAAAGTACATTAATATATAATATATATATATATATATATATATATATATATATATATACACACACACACACACACATATATATATATATATATATATATATATATATATATATATATATATATATATATCGTGCAGTGTCGGTTCTCGAATGTCTCGCATGTCGAACAAATCGGTTTTCGAACAGAAAATTCGAGATAAAAATGCCCCGGTTATCGAACAAAATTTCAGCTCTCGAACAACATTGCCGAACCGAGTTCACCCGAACGGAATGATTTCTGCCATCCTGTATACATTCGTGTGTTGTGGCGTGCCTTTCTTTTCCAATTTTATTGTATTGTGACTTTTTTTCTCTACATTTAATCCTATTGAAGAAATATTTTCGGTTTACGAACATTTCGGATTACGAATGGCCCTTCAGGAACGAATTAAAATCGTGAACCGAGGTTCCAATGTATCTGTATGAGTTCTGATAAAATATTTATTTTAAACAATATATTTTTATTTAGTAGGTTTCTTATTAACTTGTGGTTTTTATTCGTTATATATATATATATATATATATATATATATATATATATATATATATATATATATATATACATGAATTATTCACAAAAAAACTAATGCAAAGTTTAATGATTTAAATGGCGAGACATCCATCATCGCAAACAATTCAAATAATATACAAAAACCTCCGTATCCGTTATGAATGAACAATACATATATTTTCGTTGTCCTCTTATTACTAAGAGAAAAAACAAGAACAACATCTATTCTATATCTGAAGATGTCTGTAGGAACAGACGAAAGCTTGTAGCAAAATAAGAACTAATACGGCATAAATTTATATAAACAAGGATCATTTCATTCATAACGGATACGGAGGTTTTTGTATATTATTTGAATTGTTTGCGATGATGGATGTCTCGCCATTTAAATCATTAACCTTTGCATTAGTTTTTGTGTGAATAATTCATGTATTTGTAAATTGATTGCACGTTTATTGTATATATATATATATATATATATATATATATATATATATATATATATATATATATATATATATATATATATATATATATATATATATATATATATATATATATATATATATATATATATATTTAAATGTGGCTTTAGCAGTCGACGTAGTGTAATGCTTAACAATCTTGTCTCGCTATATCAATTACATGTGAGTTCGATCCTCAGTAGATTCTGTGTACTTTGGGATTTGTGCCACGTCTGAACCTCGATTAATAAATCACTATAATTCAATGTAATTCTATCAGGCTCCTTTTCTGTTATACATTGATCTAAATATTTCGACTTCTTTTTAGGATTATTTCTGGAAGCGGCTGTATTCAGTAAAGAAAATAGTTCAGTTACATATCGTATAAAGTGTGGCATTCTCTTAATTATTGCAAGGTTTCTTAAACAGCCTTTGTTTTGATATAAAAGTTTAAAAAGTCATTGTCTAGTAACTAAACATAATTTTCCGCAAATATCATGATAACATCAATAACTTTGAATTGACCGATATCTTCAGCACTTGCAACATTAGACGAAAAAACCCATTAATCTCTGCTTCAGTTTTCTTGGAATATTTGTTATTTTCTTATAGAACCAAGCTCTATTATAAACATCCCTCTTTCTATGTACCGTGTCATTTCAGGACGGAAGCGATCATGGCTCTCCACCTCCTTCTATCCCTTGCAGCTCCCTTCCTCTGCCACCTCCCCCAGACCACGTTCTGTCACCCACACCTGCTTAAAGTATGTCATGCGTTATTTTCCCTTGTCATTCTTTTTCTCTGTTCGACCTGTGAGTATCCGATTCTCCAAGCCTTCCTTACCTTCAGGACGAGGACGATCATAGCTCTCCAAAAATCTCCTTCGTTGTAGCTCTGAGATTCTCTGCCTGCCCTGGCCTACATTTAAAGTAATCTGATTAAATAAGTAACTCGCTATTTTCCTTAAATGGGATCGGTGTGTCACGCCAGATATTTTTCTCAAGTAGGAATCCATGTTGCACAATCTACCATTCATCATTGAATACTGTTCCATATTTGGTCTGGTGCTCCGGATGTAGAAATCCTCGACAAAATCCAAAGAAGGATTCTGTAATGTAATCGTTTCTGACCAGGAATCTTGACTTCAGCTTCTCACCAACTTGATGTGGCTTCCCTCTGTCTTTTCTACAACTATTTTCATGGTAACTGCTCTGCCGAATGACCCGAATACATGCATTTAAGCGTACAAATACATTGGCATCTAAGCTCTATCTTTTTACTGTTGAAAAAGCTAAATGCAACCGCCGATACTACTCCAAAAGTTTGTTTTCTCGCACTTCCCACATGTGGAAGTCCATTCCGTTTACTTGCTTCCTTAATAACTACAATCTTTAAAAGTTTCAATGCAACTCAATCACCGTTCTGTCTTCCTGAATACCATTCATCGTCTGTTCTTTCCTCAATCATTCCTATTCTGAATCTTCTTTCACACTTACATACCCAGCATCCCCTATGCTTAGTAATGTCATTACCTCCTTGCTTGGGGTGAAATCATTTAAAAAATAAATCTTGATATTAAAATGACCTGTAGGTATCATGCATTTCAAACCTAATTTCTCATTATAAGTCCGTAACCAGTCTATTTTTTTTTAATTTCCTTTTGTAGCATTCCTTTATTTTTTTTCATTTATCCCCACAATGATTATAATTTCCTTGGCCCCTGTTAAGATTTTTGCATTGTCTAGAAAGAAATTGATTCTTCTTTTATGTGCTGTAGGCGGTCATGGTTCTCTCCATCTCCCTGTTTATTGCAGTTTTGAGCAATGTTTGTCTTTTTATCAATCCTTTCCTCTCTGTTCTTCTATCCAAGCTTTTTTTTCCTATGACAAACCTGCCTTGAAAATGTCCTGTGCGTATCAAATTAACATGGCCTGAAGTTTCTTTTTATTACCTTCAATTGTTATTATGTTCCTATTGCCCGAATGTTTATCATTAATATTGTGATTGCTCTATGATATCCCTTCGACATGTTCGCGTGGTGAGAAGGAATAGATTCATATCATTTATATAAACATCCTTGCAAAAATGAATTATCAGACATCTTAAAATTATTTTCTATCAAATGAAAAAATCCTTGAGATCTCGAACAGCCAGTTATATTAAATATGTCTAAGAGAATCAGATATAATCTGAAGTTACATTGTGTATTTAACATCTAGAAAAGTATTATGATAATATCCGATTTTAGAATAAGCGGTTTTTGTTTTATTATATACTTATAATAGTGGCACAAAACATATTACTCATTTCCAATGATTTTAATGTTCTAGTCATTAATTTTAAAAGAATCTCTTTTAGGAGTTAACTTAAAACATAAATTTAAGACATTTTATATTTATACATTCATTTATAGATATAAATATGCGGAATATTTTCTGTGAAAATTTCTCGGACATTCAGGCCGGTAAATATTGTTTAATACTGTTTATTATAAACAGAGCATTTACTTACCTATTTGTATCTATAAAAAGAATGTATAAACATAAAAATCTCTTAAAATAATTGTCGGAATTTGTCCATTTCATAATGTGTGATGTCATTTGATTACATTTGATACGCCATGAATAAATTTGAATGTACGTGAGAGATTCATGGAAGATGGAAGTTCAAATACAGTAAAGGCACGTCAAGCTAAATGACGGTTGCGTATAGGATACAGGTTCGAATCCCGTCGGAGGACGAATATTTTCTGTGAAATTTTCTCTGACAGTCAGGCTGGTAAATGTTGTTTAATACCGTTTATTATAAACAGAGAATTTACTTAAATATTTTATCTATAAAAAGAATGTATAAACATAAAAATGTCTTCCAATAATTTTCGGACACTGTCCAATTCATAATGTGTTAAAACATTATGTACACCTCATCTTGAACGTGTAAAAAAGAAGAGATGAGTTTACGGTTTTATGAACACGAGTGGAAAGTTACATGTTTCAAGACATTGTAATCAGCTTAGTTAGGACACCAGTGAAGAGGGTACTTATAATCTACTAGCAGCATGGCCCGGCGTTGCCCGTGCTTGATTCAAAAATCGTACGACTCATACATCAATCTCTATCACTTGACTTAAATTATTTTTGCCCTTCCTTGCCTTTAAAGGAGTGCCATTGCCGTGCTGATGTTGCTACATGCCTTACTCCTTGCCTATCTCACACTGCGAATTTTTCTAAGCTCTATACTAAACATTAAATCTATTACGAAAAAATAATGTTTGGGTGTAGGACCTGAATATCAATCCTGGTCCCATTACAAAGTTTCGGTGGACGCAGGTTTCTAAGCAACATAACCGGGATCCCCACTTTAAGTTCCAGACTGTGATGAGGGAGACCTGCGTGGTGGAGGCTGTTTAAGAACTCCACTGGAAAGTTCGCCATTTCAGCGGGGTCTGGAGTTCTTATAATGGATTTATAAACGTGCAACATCCCTGGCACAGTTTCCAGAAGCTGTCTATTAAGGGTTGTCACAGTGGTGTTTTTTGGGGCAAGAATTGCCCGCCCAGCAAGCCACTCAATATTGTTGTAGTTCGTTTGAAGTTCAGGAAAAACTGATTCCCTGAGTGTTGCAGGCGTTGTGACCACTGTAGACAACCCTTGGACGTTTACAAATCCATTACTGTCCGCTGGAATAATACCTTCGCCAAGGGCTAATAATGAATTCGAAAATTCGGCGGACCCAATATCGCCAGTTAGTTGCGCGCGCATGTTGGGGGTAAGGTGCAATGATCTAACAGTGGGCCAAAGTTGTGACGATATCAAGCACGCTCGAATAGTGTCGGCCCTTGTCCCCTTAGTACAACGGGAGGGTCTGGCGAAAGTCACCGGATAGAAAGACAGTTATACCTCCCATAAGGTCATCGGAGTTTCGAATATCCTTCAGAGAGCGTTTTACAGCCTCGAGTGCAGTTTTGGGACTGACAGTGCACTCATCCCAGACGATGAGCTTACATCGGCTGAGTACCTCCGCTACACGTGATTGATTGGCTATACTGCATACAGCTGTTTCTAACTTAATCAGGTCAAACGGAAGTTTAATCGTTGAGTGCAATGTTCGGTCACCCGTTAGTAATATAGCAGCAATGCCTGAAGACGCTACTGCTAGCGCCACTTCGCCATGGCGCCAAATTTCTGCAAGAAGTTGTTTTGTTACGAACGATTTTTCCGTTCCCCCAGGCGCGTCCCGGAAGAAAATTGATCCGGTATCCTGCCTGGTGGATGCAAGAACCGCATCGTAAACGGCCCTTTGGTCTATTAGAAGTTTTGGCTCATTTGTTGTGACATAAGCGTTGAGCTCTACAACAGAGTAGGATATCTCCAGCACAATCTCAATTGAGAGACTGGAGGAATCTGGCGTTGGAAGCCCAACATCGGCGAGAGACCCCCCCATTTCAATAAACAGGTTCTCAATGATTATAAGCGCCCTGTTGTAAATTTCATCGTTGAATGTAAGAGCCATTGTTGGACACAGCAGTTGCGCTTCTCTGAGTATGTCTTCGGAAAAAATGTCCTTGCATTTGTCCCAAAGTGATTTGGGATCACTGGGTTCGCACATTTGTAAGATTGTGATGAAGAGGTGGCGCAAAGCAGAGGGCATTTTTAAAAGAGCTACCTCATCCATTATGGCATCCCACTGGGTGTCGTCTTCCAAAAGGCCGAGACGGAGGCAAGCCTCACGAAAAGTGTCAAATAAAACTCCATTAACCGTCCGTATGTTATTGTAGCTCGTTGGACCACTAACTTCGTGCAAAAGGAGTCGCAAGTAAAAACATTCCTGTCGCGATGGGGGAATCGTGAATACCCATCCGAGTGTGGCGTCTTTTTTGACGCCTGGGTAACCCACGAGGTTGGCCCCGCACTTCCGCCGAGCCCAGGTGTTCTTTTTTGTCCACACGTAGTATGAAGGCACATTTGGGTACAGTAGAGTCCTAGCAAAATCTTCCTGTCGACGAAGTTTGAAGAACGCTGGAAGCGTTGTGTCTTTGGTACGCGCAGACACATCCATTGCTGTATCCGCAGAAAAATAACGAATAATAAGTTCGTCGTTTTCTAGGTGCACAGCAAGCTGGACGATTGCTGGGAAGCGTTCGTGGATGGGGAAGCTGAATATGTGCCAAGGGCCCTCTGTGCTACTAATGACGCGCCCTGCAAGGAAGTCCTGGATTTCGTCTACGGAACCTCCCTGCTTAATACCAAACATTGCAGCATCAGTCCGTTTGTTGATGTACTTGCATACATACTTGATGAAGCGAACTAAATGGCAATATTCGACATTGATGTGCGCATTGAACGCTTTTCTTCGCAGGGGAAAAGTTTTAAAGAATTGGAAAATGGACAGCTGAGGGCGGAACCATTTTTCTTTGACAAATTCGAATATGTCATTTGTGGCTCAAAGTCAGACCAGGTAGCAGGGATAAAAAAGCAGAATTTCAATGGCCCTGCTCCCATTCCAGAATTTGAGATCAAATGTTTTCTTCCAATCCACTGCACGCACTGACCTGTTTCTTCCCGCGCATAGCGTGACCTTAAATTAATCTGCATTTAGGAAATACCCAACCGGAAAAAAAAAACATTTTCAAGGGTTGACCGATTGTCAATTTGCACTCTGTTTTATTCGCTCAGAGTTGAAACTTCACATGGTGACTCCCAATTGCCTCTTCATAAATCCGCTCGGTTTTCGCTAAAAACCGACATGCGGTTCAGACGCAATCTGGGCGTATCGGTTTTGGGCTTTTATCGATTTTCCGCGATGTTTTGGGGTCCATGGTCACGCAACTTCTAATGCTAAACTCTAAGAGGGTGTCAAATTTGGTTAAAATGCGATCATTCCTTCTGTAAGCAGATTTTTTCGATTGTCGATTCCGAACTCAAAAATCGGACTCCTTACGGCAGCCATTTGCAAATCGTGTTGAAAACCGCATCGAAATCGGTTGAGAAATGCGGCCTGGGCGAGGTAACAACGCCCACGACAGACACACAGACAGACAATATGAGAAAGATAGATAGATAGATAGATAGATAGATAGATAGATAGATAGATAGATAGATATGCAAATTATGCGTTTCCATACAGAAAACACTCGTCATTCATTGACCAAACAGTGTCATTATTGGTTGAAACTCATAATATATTTCTATTAAATTAGTATTTAAGGTAAATAGACTTAACTGTTAAGTAGTAGGTATACTTGTCCATGGTATCAAATACAGAACAATCTCCACAAAGATGAAGAAGGAACTTGAAGTAACCGAAATTAAGCTCTACAGAAGGATACTGAGGATACCATAGAGCGAAAATGTAACTATTTAGTTTTAGAGAATATGGAAACGAAGTGGACACTAATCCTTAAGATCAGAATGAGACGTTTTAGATTTTTATGGTATATAATGAGCAAAGGTGGCTTGGAAATTTTGATACTCATAGGACAAATTGTAGGAAATAGGAAAACAATGCGACACCTAGCTGGAATAAATGTATGGCGGAACAATGTTCAGCAAAGATCACAAAAAGAGAAAATCTATTAAGAGCTACAAAAACAAGAAATTGTGGAGAGCCATAATCGCCAACGTCATTAACGGATATGTTACATAGCAAAAGAAGCCTTCTCATATCCACTGATAGTTATATAGCATTTGGTGATATGAAAAGTTAAAATATTGTTTATATCATTATTTTTTTCTCTTTTAGACATATGTGCTGCTAATTTTTACTGTTGGTGATCTTCGAAGTATTCAAGTTGCGCGTTTTTGGGTAAAATTGATGAATTTGTTTGTTCTGTGTATAGTTTCTCATGAGAAGTCGGCTTCACGTTGTTGCCTACCGCCGTATTTGTTTTGGATATGATCCGGCACATGTAGATGTTTTTCACTTATTCTTTTATACCTGGGCTTATAAAAGCGAAAAGCAGAATAAAAGAAAAGATAAAAACAGATAAAGTTCAAATCTACCTTAAGGGTACCTACAACTATATCAGCAGCCATCAGCCTTTTTGAATCGTTAAAGGCGTTGTTTATTAGAATATCCGATGATGCGGGTATTACAAATTCCAACATCATGTCTTTTCTCCTTCAGGAAATACATGGGAAATCGTATCCCAAGTGTGAAATGAAACCATTGCCAAAACAAAGTTTCTCTTACATACAAATTAAAAGGATTTTTAGGTTGAGGATGAGAAAATGGAAAATTAAATCTTTTATCCAGAGGATTATGAATGGCGTAAAAAAGTTGTGAAATTTGAAAGAAATATATATTTGCTTTTTGTGATATCAACGAATACTCGTTGTCACTTTCTTAATGCTCGTTATAGCAGAGATATTATAACCGCAAAAACAGCTACGTTACGCCGTTGAACAATGCTGGTGTCAGACGCCTTCGAATAGAACTCTTACTAATGGTACTTACTCGATAATACACGCACGAATACTAAATTGTATAGTGATCGGAATAGAGAAATAGTATAGGGAATAGAGTAGTGAATAGCGGTCCGAATAGTAGTAGAGGATCGAGTAGAAATAGATATCAGTATAGTAATAGAGGATAGACTAGAAAAGGAGATCCGAATAGTAATAGTAATAATGATCTCTATTTCTACTCTATCCTCTATTGCTATACGGACGACTATTCTGTACTCTATTCACTATACTATTTCGCTATTCGGATTACTATTCGGTGGTTACTATTTGAGAGTGTATTATCGAGTAAGTACCATTAGTGCGAGTGTTATTCGAAGGCGTCTAACACCAGTATTACTATAGTTTTTATCTGAGATGTGATATCTGTCATCTGGACAATCTCCTCTAAGATGAAGAAGAGACTTGAGACGACAGAAATGTTGTTCTACAGAAGGATGCTAAGGATAACATGGGCCGAACATAGGGAGCAACGATGAGACTTTGAAGATAATTGAAACAAACAGGAAACTTATACTTATTAGAAGGAGGCAGCTGAAATTTCTGGGACACGTAATGAGAAAGACAGGCTTAGAAAATCTGATACTCACAGGACAGACAAGGAGCAAGAGGGAAAGAGGAAATCAATGCGTCACATATTTGGCTTAGGCAAATGGATTCCGGAACAGAGTATGGGAATAGTAACAATAATGGTAAAACTTAGAGCTACAAGGGACAGGAGCAGGTGGGGGGCATGATCGCCTACGTCCTGAAGGGACTCAGCAGATAAAAGAATGTGAATTATGAAGCTATATTCTGGGTTGTGCATATGCTGGTAAACAAACTCACATTAAAAAAATGTTAGAAAGAAAGATTGCGCCTTTATTAATTCCAACCGTCTCTTTCTATTTGTAAATATAAGTGTCTTTTTTTTGTATTCACTTTCCTTAAACTTTTTCGTTTCTTACGTATTCAGTTCCTGACATCCTCAGAACTTTTTTGTAATCATTTCACCCCAAGCAAGGCAATAATAGCAATAAGACGGAAAGGGGTTAGTGTGAGTGAAAGAGAACAAGAAAAATTTAGGGAAGAGAACGGACAATAAAAAAAAAAAAAACTCAGAAGAACACCTCAGACTGTCCAGTTCGAATGCCAGTCGGTTTCATTAGCGTCATTTAATTTAAGAAAAATATGCATCATCTTGCAGCCATTTAAATAAGTTTAAATAATCGGGGCATTTAAAAATCCTTGTTTTTATGATAAAAAAAAAATATTTATGCAATATTCCCCCTCAAAAGCAAAAGAATTATTCTTACAATCGAAAATGTCTTTCGGCTGTAAATAATCGAAGTGTTGATAAGCTTTAACAAATAATTCAGTTTTGTGAATTATTTAGTAAACTTACCCTCAACAATAATTTGCATATATCTTATTGCTTTACCTACAATAAAACTATTTTCCGACGTAGAATTATTGAGAGAGGTACAACAATACTTCGGTAAGCGAAATACTATATAGCGAAAATCTGAAGTAAATCCAGCTGGTAGTTACGTACAAGGGTAGGGATTTATTGATCAACACAAGTATTCTTATATATATATATATATATATATATATATATATATATATGCATATAAACTTCAATCTTCCATGAATCTCGTACATTCATAACTGCTCTGGCGCATCAAATGTACGAGATTCATGGAAGATTGAAGTTTATAACAATAAATTCGACCTTGTCCACTGAACAGTCCTTTTGTGGATCGGTAAGGCACGTCAACATAAATGACGGTTCCATATATATATATATATATATATATATATATATATATATATATATATATAATACCTTCATATACTCTGTTTGTCTATATTTCTGAAATGAGGTATTATGTACATTATTTACATTATTCGGACTATTGTCTTCATCTTTGTCGCCATATTTATCACAACGTTTCGGCCGTTATACGCTCCGGCCTTCTTCAGATGGTTGGAATGTCGAACTGAACCCTTTATTTCGCTCACTGGGATAGACTTTTCTAGTTCCACGTGCCATGTTTGAGGGATGTCAGTTACCAGTTATCTCCTGTTAATTTTCTCTCTGAAAGTTCTCCCCTGCCTTAACCGGGTATTGAACTCACACTCTTTGGGTCCTGTCACTTGATCTAACCAACGCCTTTATCCACTGTGCAATGTGTCCTTGAGGACACATGGCACAGAGCGTACAACGGCCGAAACGTTGTGAAAATATGACGACAAAGATGAGGACAATAGTCCGAATAATGTAAATAATGTATTTAATACGCTATTACACATACATACACGCATGCGTCTACCGTTATCGTCGCATAGCAAACTTCTATGTAAACAAAACAGGATGTCATATCTGACGGTGAAATTCTCTGTTGTAATGTCCTTCTAATCACTCTGATCATGGCTCATGTGAGTCGAGAGCTTAGATCGACGGCCAGTATAATTAAGAAATATACAAATGCTTGACCGCTTTTGTCTTTATTACCGAGATATACCTTGATGCTGAATAAGCTGACGTGGAAAATTCAAACAAATATTTAAAAACGAAATGCAATTAATTATACGAATGTTCTGAATTCCTTGTTGACTACCCCGTGAAAAAATATATACTCTTCCGGTTGCGTGAGGAATACGCATGGCTTTCTTTAGATGACTGCTACTGTGTGGCCTTCGTAGCCTAATTGGCAAGGCTCCTAGCACTGAAAGCCAACCACAGAAATATAAGATATCGATGGACGGTTTTGTTTAAGATTTTTGAATATTTTTACTCATACTTTATTCTATCACTCATAAAAGAAAAGAAAAAAGCAGAAATATGAGGAAACATTTCAATTATGAAAGATTAGCAACAAACTCACAGTATAAATCTCGACATGTTAGAAAGAAATATTGCACCTTATTGACTCTTTCTATTTGTAAATATAAGTGTCTTTTTTGTATTCACCTTCCTTAAAACTTTTTCATTTCTTACGTATTCAGTTCATGACATCGTCAGCACTTTTTTGTAATCATTTCACCCCAAGCAAGGCAATAATAGCAATAAGACGGAAAGGGGTTAGTGTGAGTGAAAGAGAACGAGACAAATTTAGGGAGGAGAACTGACAATAAAAAACAGCATTCAGGAAGATATAAAATTGTGATTGACGTTTCGTTAAAATGTTTAAAGTTTGTACATGGCAGAAAAGCAAGAGGGTGGAAGAGTTTCACAGGCGAAAAATAGGAGTAAAGAATCTATTAAAAAAGAACTTTTGTCTACATCTGTCAAATTCACCAGTAAAACGACGAGACGTGTAGCCACAAGAAGACACGCAGTTGAGGTATCAATGAAGTAAGATTCTTAGAAACCTCATGGAAATACTTACAGAAAAGAAAGAGGGAATCCACGTCACATCGGTCGGACAGTGACTGAAGTCCAGATGCAAGTTCTTTAAAACAACAGCTTGGTTGACTTCAGTGTCTTCTTCATCCATAAAGAAATTTTCCATCATTCGCTGGCACATAGGAGGATCGATATTACCTTAGGGTTCAGGATACTTTTTCTGGTTTGTAATGAAATTTTCTTCTCTAAATATTTTGTTTGGTTTTGGGAGGCTTCTGTCTTTAATTAAATACGCCTTCAGGTTTCTTTCCAACGCATTCTGTTGTCT